GCTGGCATTTTTGTTGACCCATTTATTTCAAGAACCTTCTGTCCTTAACGGGGATAAATTGCTGCAGGTACATGTTGCTGCTTCGTCGATCATCCATAACTTATTTCAGTTTTTTCGACCTGTCGTACCCGATCATTAGGTGTTTTAATGAGTTTTCATGATGTTCATATTCAGACGATGTATATGCTACTGTTCATAGTAGTAATCCATCCAGAGGGGAGAAGAGGTAGAGTCTTAGGTCTGGAGATAGACGTGGAGAATATGCTATTAGATCGACATCTTACCGGTTCGGATCGAACTACGAATCAGTTTCAACCTGTACTGATGCGGAGGACTAGTTTATACCAGTCTAGACGGTAACATATGCATGCAAATTCCAAGAATTGGAGACTGACACATCTCATGATGTGAATAGCAGCATGAAAGAAATTGATAAAATTCTTTGTTTATTATAGATCCCGACATTTTTACTCAAAATGAATTTTTTTACCTTTTTTATGTTGCTAATTGTGGAATCACTCGATGCATCTCGTTCCGTTCACCCACCGCAATTTATCATAAGGATTCTGATATGATGACAGTCAGAAGATTATGAGCGGAGTCAAAAATTATGCGAGACGGATCAAGCGTCAATAAGCTTTGCACCGTATTTCAGAGATCCCTTGATGGCGGTAAGACAACGGCTCAGCTATAGTAAAGATTTGAAACTACGCCTAACGTTGCAACCTTCGTGTCAGAGTGCGGTGTGCAGAGCTATGTTTATTGCAATCGGTGGTTCTCCCCTGATTGATTTTAATTTTTTAACATTTAATATGTTCATTGTTTTAAGTTCGTTATTTTGTTCATTTTTCTTTAATCTGAGTTTTGAGTTTCTTTACATCTAGCGCTACTTTTTTTGTCACGGCTCAGCGCATAACGTGGGGATGGAAAGTGTGATTGCCTGAAATGTCGATCGCTGAATTAAGCCCCCCCCCCTCCACCCACGTGTTTGTGCCCTATAACCGATGAATTAGACAACCCTTATATGTTTTAATGCGTTGATGGTTAGTGGCTCTGCTGTTCAAGTTAATTTTAGTCCTAAGCATTCTTCGTTCGTTCATGCGTTCATCATTCATTCATTTCCAAAGCCAACTATTTCTTTCGAATGGCTGGACAGCAGCTTCAGGAGGCCAGTTGACCGCTAATTGGAAAAACTCAGTGGTCCTGATTCTCAGGCACAACAATGCCATTTTTAATCTATAATCGAGCTAGCCTCAGGGCCGACGATCTCTTTGACTTGGCGAGAGGAGGTTCGCGTTCCAAGTTTCTCTTGACATATGCCACCGTCCTCACAAGAGAAATAAAAACATCAAATGCCAATATCTAGGCGACATAAAACTGCCATGTTCTTCCTGCTTTGCTCACCGAAGCAATGCAAGGATATCAGTCTTCTCCCCAGTTCTCGATATCATCCATTAAGCAATTTTTTTATGTTTTATTCAGCTTGCCATACTGCCCATTTTGCGTGCATGGAATATAGAGTCTATGCAGTAAATGAAATTATACGCATATAATTTTCAATGGTCAGTTAAGCGTATATTTATCGAAAACTTTTTGGCATTGATATCTTTGTTTCGTGACGTAATGAGTTTAAACCTGGACAGCGGTGTTTATTTAACAGAGCAGCTGAAAAAAGTGACAAAGAAAGTAAAAAATGGCAAGAATTTAACAGCAGAGGAAAATGGATTTTTGCGAATAGGAGAATGTCTGCAAGTGTAGAAACTTTAAAAGTATTCCAGAACTTACTAAAGTACAGCACGGTCCAAAGCTTTGATTAGCGAAACTTTTTGATTGGTTATTCGCATCATATGGTCATATGCTTCATTGATTGAAGAGTGCTCAAAACGGAAGCCATTAAGTGTTTAAGAGACCACCATCCCAACGGTAACAAATTTTCCTTTTCATTCTTCTCTTCACGGTACTGCATCTGTTCGGATGGGTTAATCAAATTACTGAGATGTAAGTATCTACGTGAGGTAAACAAGTTTACCTGTTTGCTGAGGTAAGCATATTTTATCGCTTTAAAATTTTCGTATCAGCCGAGAAGAGCAGGAACAAGATCCGCAGTAGGGCTGCTGTTTGAACTTCTGTCTAATTTTTTGAGTAAATGGAAAATGATTCAGCTTGTCGCCATTTAAGTGGGTTGCAAGCTTTGTGGTGTGAATTTGCTAATTCGTGAGCCAGTTTAGTTCAAACCTTGGACTTCGTCTGCTGCAAGCGCTGACTATGCAGCGTTTTGGTGTACGGATCCGAAAAATGAACCCTACTGAGAAAAATAAGCACCACCTAAGCAAGCAGGTTAACTTGCCTACCTCATATAAGAACTGACAGTTTAGCAAACAGAATTCATCCTCTTTGAAGACGCATAATCCCTGGAAGGAAAAATAAGGAGGGAAAAGTTTGTAACCGCAGGGATATCGATCTCCCTTACATTTCAACAGTGGGAACCGTTCATAGCACCTTTCTTTTCACTGAGCTTATTATGCGGAGCTGATCGCCATTTCTATTCCGTCGGTCAGAAGTGCGTTATTTTGACGGTAGTGTGTACAGTTATTTGACAGGTTTAACGCACATCCTCCTGTTTCATTTTTTACTGTGTGGTACTCGCTTATCTTCCATGGAAAGTCGAAAGGCGACTGACTTGATCATGGTTCGAGCTAACGCTCTACTGCCATGGCAACCTCCGCATATCCTGAATATCCTAAACTAGTTCGATAAACGAGTTAGGTCAATGATGAATAAGCAGCTACGTCGTGGCTACGTCAAACACTGTAGAGGAGTGCAGAAGTACAGTTTCACCGCATTACCATTTTCTCTAACGAAGGCTGTTGCCGCCGGCCAGCGCCAATCTTCCACGTGGTTGTAAATTTTAAATCCTTAGCCCTTGTGGCCTGCTTTTGCGCTGAGGCCTGTTCTACTCTTATGTTCCTCCCTTGTCGTGTAAGTGGCTACACTCGCTCAGTGTTTCATCGTTTTAGATTCAGGTTCACCAGTTAAGGCTATAGGCTGAACATCGCTTCCTGCAAAACTCGTAGCAGCTAAGTTCAATTAGATAATGCAAAGACAGCAGTGACTGTTTCCTCATGACAGATGGACTCATGAGCAGACAGGTATATAACTGTTCGTTTTCGATCTTGCAACGTTCGTTTACTAAACACCGGGATATTAGTAGAATTGAAGATCATCCCACTTTGGGCGTATATGGGAACCTGTTCGGCTGCTCTTCCACTTGTTGGTTTCGCTTGAAATCGTGACAACGATTTTTCACAAGGATGGGAGCTATTGTTAAGAATTTTTCTCATATTTATAGGGTACACGATATTATATAGTCTCCAGGGTTTCAAAATTCATGTGACCTATTCTGGGGTATACGCCAATGGCATGACACATGAGAGGCAGTCAACTTTACTCATTGTTCTAAAAATACCGGTCCCATCTTCATGGAATGTGTCAGCTGAAGGCTGGTCACACCTTCGCCGGATCCAACGCCTCGGGGTCGCTGAAGACAACCGACCAGCGGAGCGAGAAAGCCAGGTAAAGCCGTTGGTCACCATTAAGTACGCTTTGCTTGGTCGATCTCTACGACGCAGGCAGATGAACATAAAAACAAACGCATTCATCACCGCCGGTGTTTCGAACGGTGTTCTTTGATGTGCATCTAACACTTGTCCCTGACCTGGAAGGTGCGCTCGCATTTCACCGTGTGCTGTTCCGGCCACACGATCAGCCGTTAGGCGGTTCGGTCGACCATCGACACGGGTGGTGCCGCAACTAGTTTAAATCGAATACGAATTTACGTTATAGTTTGCAAAGTTTTTTTCGTTTCTTCGTCGTTGCTGCCTTGAGGAAATACC